CTCAGATATTAAATTTTAAAGATAAAGTTAGAAAAAAGAGGGGAAATAATAATAATAATAATAATAATAATAATGGTTACCAGTATTGTCTCTCAATGACATTATCAATTCAGATTCTGCTCTAACGTAACCACATCTTTGTTGCTCATACTGCAATGCTGCCGTCAACTTAGTAATAACGTGCTTATATATGCTATCTACTTGTTTACATAATTCCAATTCAGGTGGGTCAAGTACAAATACAAGATGGAAAAATGTTGAATGCTGTTGTTTATTGACTGTTACATCATCAGTTAATGGTTCTTCGGGAAATGTGAACTTTGATAACTGTTTTTGAAGTTCTTCGTCATCATCTATATCAGTTGAATTTTCACTATAATCTCCTGTTCTTTTATTATCTTTTGAAGGAGGAACCTCGATTTGTTTATTTTCATCTGCTCTATTCATAAATACTGGTTGTCCAACAAATGTTAGATCATCAATAGATAATTGGAATTTCGGTGAACCTTTAGTGCTGGGGCATAAAGCAGTAGCTAACACTGAAATTTCAAGCCCAAACAATTTATTATGAATCGCATTACGTTCAATATCATTATTTCCTGAATTATTATCTATAATGTTTTCATATTCATTATCTTCATCCTCAAATCGTGATCTAAAGGATTTTAAAGATCGTTTGTCATTTTCGTCCACTGTTCCATAAGGCCAAGTTATCGCGTCTTCTTCGAGTAAATCGTCCTCAAATTCTTCAAGATCTTCAGTTTTCCGAGCAGTCCGTTCAATTTCATCACGTAACTTTGGATCCTTCGGGTAGTGAAAAACAAGGTTTGAACCACGACTAGTACGTATCACTAGAAGAATTGCTATAAGCGAGACACCCATTTATATGGTATTTCGTAAAACCCATTTGAAAGATAAAACAAATAAATTAGATATCAATAATCCTATATAACACTACAGTATCCAATCATATTTGATTAAAGGTAATTACGCAATAGAATCTCTATTGCGTAATCATTTTTCTATTACAGTATAAAAAGTGAAAATATT